GGGCAAGATATGACAAAATAATAATTTCTAAATTCATGAGGGAGGGGGGAACAGGGAGGGAGGGGAAAAACGAGGAGCTGATGCCAGGGGCTTAGGTGGTGAGCAAATGTTTTGAGAATGATGAGGGCAATGAATGTACAAATGTGCTTTACATAGTTGATGTATGTATGGATTGTGATAAGAGTTGTATGAGCCCCTAATAAAATGATAAATTAAAAAAAAGAAAACATTCCACTGTTATTACTGCTAGTCAGTTTCATGGGAAACGGTAAGGCTTTGTGCTCCTGGAAAGAGTTATAGTCTCTAAAACTCACAGGGGCAGTTCTACCCTGTCTTACAGGGTCGCTCGGAGTCAGGATCAACTGGAAGAGAGTGAGTTTGGGCTGTTCACCTGCCTCCCACCTACCCCAGCCCACCCCCACCCCCAGTCAGGTCAGGTTCATGCAGAGTTTCAGATGGACACTAAGGAGTCGATTTCTAGCTCCGATGGAAAAGACGCCATGCAGGCTGGTTTCCCTTTGACCCACCATCGTTAACCTCCGCTTTCATCTCCTTCATGTCCTCGTCCATCTGCAACTGCAGCTGGCTGAGCCGCCCGTGCACCTCCTCCTCCTCCTGCTGCTGCTTCGTTCGGTGGTTCTCCAGACTCTTCTTCTGACTCTCTTCTAGCTTGTCCAGTCGGGCAGACATCTGGCTGAGCTTCTTCTCCAGGTCCCTCTCGCTGGCTCCCTGAGATCCATGAGAAGAAGTGTACTTGATTACTCCGGCAAGGAAGGCCACACTGTACTCCCATCAGCCAGACTAGAACTCCACAGCAACTCTCAGGGAATGGAGTCGCAGAGGCGGCTATTTGCCCACCAGACCCTCCGTTCCTCCTTAGCTGGTGCCAGGACACCCAGACTACAGACTATCCTCATGTGTCCCAGTGCTTTCCAAGTTTGGTGTGGCCAGACACTCAATTCTCACCCTTGAGATAGAAATCGATGTGGCACTTTGCAGGAAGTGCGGGCCTACCCTTGTCCTTGCCTTACTTCTTCTGTTTCTGAAGAAACAGAGGACTGCCCCTCTGTCAGCTACCTTGAACCATGCGGACAAGAGTCCCTGTGAGGCTGGCAGAGACTCAACTCAGAACAAGCCTCCGTTGCTGAGAACTGACAAGCTACCAAATCAGCCCTGAACAACCTACCATCCGTGTTCCGTTTATGGGAAAAACAAGTTCGCTTCTATTTGATGAAAGTCACCATTAGCTTGGGGTTTTTACTGTTAGTAAACCAATCCACATGTAAAAATCAACAATGGCCCCAAGACACCAAAAGCTAAATATATATTAATACAAGTCTAAGCAAATCATGTAGTAAACCTGATGAAAGTGTAGAAGCATACTACAAACAGAAATGTCAACTATTGTCTTCCCCTTCCCACAATGCTTGCTTTTTATGGGGCTCTGTGCCTGTGAGCAAGCTTGGGAGGCCAGGGCTGCAAACACCAGGCTGTCCCCTGGGCTGTGGTAGAACAAAGCTCTCTCTCTTGCTGGTGCTCAGCTTAGTTCTGGTGGGGAGCCAAGGGTCGAAGGGGCAGGAAGGTGGGAGACACAATGATGGGGTCTGTGAACAGATGGCACTGTGCTATCTTAGAGTATGGCCATCATTTAATGGAGGGGTCTGGAGGGAGAAATCTACATGATACTAGCCCCAAAGCAAACAAAACCAGCTCATGAAGTAGATACAAACAAGAGTGATGTTCATTGCGATCAGTTTTATTTAGGAACATAGATGTTCCATTTGGTTCATTGCACGTTTGAGCTCAACACATCTTGCCTGAAACGACTGACATTTTCTGTCTAGTTGGCCTTGGCCAACCAACACAAGTTAAAGTGCTTCTGCCCCTTCATAAAGAAAGCAAAGAATCCATGTGAACCATAGAAATGGGTTCGGAGGGAAGGAACAAGGGGCAAGTTTGTGTGATGCTCAATAAAATACAGAGAAATTGCTCGGTGATTGTCAAACATTGCAGGCCACGCTCACTGAGCACCGTTACGATCTGATAGTGAGCCCTCAATACGTACACTGTTTTCTTTCACCACTAAGGTAAGCTGGTCGATTCTCCGTAAAAGTTCTTTTTCAATCCGTTCTTGTTCCTGTTGCAACCAATTCCGTGCAGATAAAATCTGGTTACTGAGTTCTTCAACTGTCCCTTTAAACCTAAGAAAGCAAGTTGGATGTAAAAAGCACAAACAAAACTTTAATGGCATCGAGCAGCCTCAATCTTTTGACTATGAGGATCTGTAATGACGGTGTGAGCATTAAGTGCAGCTTGATCAGATTACGGCGCTATCTTTTATGAGAATTACACTGAACACGAAGTTGCAGGGGAGGCTGGGAGATGGGAGGGAGGATTCAACAGAAAATCACCTGATGGTGTCGCCTACCTGTGACGAACTGACGTGCGGGCATGAGGGTGACGCGCAGGGACATGGAGCCATGCCAAAGGCTCGCCTTTGCAGCTCAGAGGGTCCACAGTGCTGCCAGCTCAGGGGACACTGTGTCCCAGTTCCCCTGCCAGGCTCCCCCCGCCCCCCTTGTCTTCCTTGTCCCTTTGACCTTCCAGCACTGGAGCCTGGCCCCCGTTCTCTCTACTGCTCTCTAATCGGCTCCCACACAGATTTACTTATTTTTAAATCGTAAGGAAAAAATAAAACCAAAATAACTCTCTCTCAATCCTCCATTCCTGCTAGTCCTCTCCTTTTCCAAATTCCTTACAATAACAACTCTGAGGGGCTGTGTCCTCTTAATGACTTTGCTCTTTTTTATTATGAAATAGAAGACAAGAACACACACACACACACACACACACAAACTGCAGTGTAAACCCTCAGTGTAAAGACTAGCACCCATCGCCACACCACCCATTGTCTTGTAACACCTGCTATCCTCTTTTTGCCTCTTAAAAAGCCATTCCATGAACTAGGTGTATGGCTGTCTAGTCAGCAGCTACATTTTCCAGTGTCCCTTGCAACTATATGTGTGCACGTGAGTGAAGGGAAGCAGCTTCCTGGTCATAGCATGAAAAACAAAGTTCCCTTCACTGGGTTGTCAGAGTTGCCCCATTAGCTCCGGACCCTTAACTCGTTTCTTCTCCCCAACTTAGGAATCTTCTATGTTGACGGTTTTTAGCTAGAAACTGTTTTCACAGTTGAGTGATATCCCACGTTATGCATAGTCTACAATTTACCCAATATTCTCTAGATAAACATTTGCTTTTTTTCCTCTATCTTTGCTATTAAAGACAGTGCTATCATGAAACACTTACATGTGTGCTGGTTCACGCATGTAAGGCTCCCTTAGTGTAGACACACATCCAAGTCTGTCACAAAACACTTGTTTTCCAAAGCGTGTGTAGTGCTACACACTTCTTCTAGCCTCCATTAATGCTCTTCAGAACCCAGTATTAATGTAATATTTCTTCCTGCTTGAAGATCATCTATGCTTGATGTTCTGAAATTTAAATGAACTCTGGTGTGTTCAGACTTTATTTTTGTTTATTCTATTAGAATATGTTGGGCTTCCTACATCTGTCTTCCAACAATTCTGGAAAATTCTCTGCCATTATATCTTCAGATATTACTTCTCCCCCATCCTCTCAATTGTTGCCACACAGAATTTTGATTAAGCACGTGCTATCCCATCTCACGCTGTCTTCCTGTATTTGTTTCTATTGCTATCACAAATACTACAAATTAAATATCAGAGATTTATTATCTTTCAGTTCTATACACCAGAAATCCAGGTGGCTCTACCGAGCATATCACAAAGCCAAAATCAAGGTGCCAACTGGATTGTACTCCTTACTGAGGGCCCTAGGGGAGAATCATTTGCCAAGCTCATTCAGGCTGTTAGCCAAATCCAGTCCCTTGCTGCTCTAAGATGAGGCCACTGTTTCCCTGTTTATTTATGACCAGAAATTATTCTCACCTTCTAAAAGCTGTCACATTCCTTGGTGAATAGCCCCCATCTCCATTTTCAAAGCCAACAACACCATGTTGAGCCTTTATGACATTTCTTACACTGCCTCATCTTTTGTATTGCAGCTGGGAGATGTTCTCCACTTTTAACAGCTCATGTGGCAGGTCTTAGCCTGTCCAGGATACTCTCCCCAGGTCTCGATCTCTAACCTTCATTACATCTGCAAAGTTCCTTCTGCAATGGAACATGACATGTTCATAAATTACAGGGATCAGAGTGTGAATGAATACCTTTGGGCAGGGCCTTATTCTGTCTACCTGTAGCTCTTAATCCACCACTTGTCTGTCAGTTTGTTATACTTAGGTGGCCTGTGTATGGCTGTGATGCTGGAAGCTATGCCACTGGTATTTCAAATGTCAGCAGGGTCACCTGACGTGCCAGAGAATGGGCCCCTCGTGTCCGAGGGCACTCAAAATGTGACTGAGGAGGAAATGCTTTCTTGGAGTGGACCATGTGGGGACGTGAATCAGGTGAAGCTGTGGGAGTGGAGCCTTCAGATCTTCATTTGCTGAAGGGGCACGACTCCAGGTGAGGCGAAACAGCTGCAAACCTCTGCTAATGATCCGAACCCGGACTGCGCAGAGTGTGAAGCTAAGAAGACTGGAAGTCATCGAAAAGTAAATGAAATGCATCAAGATGGAAATCCTAGGCGTTAATAAGCTGAAGTGGACTGACACTGGCCATTTTGAATCAGAAATCATATGATTTACTATGCCAGGAATAACACAATCAAGAGCCTGGCTTTCGTTGTCAAAAAGGACATTGCAAAATCAGTCATGAAGTACTATGCTGTCTGTGATGGGATTAGATCTATCTGCCTCCAAAGAAATCCAATCAACACAACTTTATGCATCAAATTTAGTCAGATGTATGCCCCAACTACTAAAGATAGCAATGAAGGAATTGAAGAATTCTATCAAGGACTTGATGCAATCAGAATGCCTTGACGATTATTGGCAATCAGAATGCCAAAGGTGGAAACAAAGAGAAAGGAGTGGCAGTTGGAAGATATGGACTCGGCGAAAGAAACAAAGCTGGAGATAACATGATAGAATTTTGCAAAACCAGCAACTTGTTCACAGCAAATACATTTTTTCCACAACACAAAGGGTTATGATGCACATGATTCGCTGGATGGAACGACAAATATCAAATTGGCTCCATCTGTGAGAAGAAATGCTGGAGTTCAACGTCAGCAGCGAAAACCAGGCCAGTGGCTGACTGTGCAGCAGACCATCAATTGCTCATGTGCACGTTCAAGACACAGCTGAAGAACATTTAAACAAGTCCACGAGAACCAAAATATGACCTTGAGCCTATTCCACCTGGATGTTAAGAACAGCTTACACGAAGAAAGCAACGGGTCATTAAAGAGACAGGAAAGAAAGAAAAGCTTAACATGGAGGTCAGAAGAAACCAAACGTGTTCTACATCATAGAGTGCCTACAGCACATGGGAGGAAGGAGGAAGTCAAAGAGCTGAAACTTACAAAGGGCAGCATGAGATGACGAAGTCAAATATAATGAAATATGCAAAGACCTAGAGTCAGAAAACCAAAAGAGAAGAACACACTCAGCAGATCTTAAATGGAAAGAACTCAATGAAAAGGTCAAGCCTCAAGTTGCAAGATTGAAAGATTCTATGGGCAAAATATTTAATGATGCAAGAAGAAGAAAAGACTACACAGAGTACCAGAAAGAGGTAGTTGGCATTCCATCATTTCAGGAGGTAGCATGGGAGCAAGAATCAGTGATGCCGAAGGAAGAATTTTGAGCTGCACTTAAAGCATTGGCCCAAACAAGGCCCTAAGAATTGATGTCAGATGGGGCGTGGCTGAAAGCAGAGCTTGCCAGAAAGATGTTTGCTTGTGTTTCATTGACTATGCCACAGCCTAGTCAATTTGACAGTGCGGATCATAATAAACTGTGAGTAACCTTGAGAAAAAGGGAATTCCAGAACACTCGTTGTGCTCATGTGGAACTGGTACCAGCATCAAAAGGCAGTTGTGCAAACAGAACAGGGGAATACTGCATGGTTTAACATCAGGAAATGTGTGCATCAGGGTTGTAGCCTGTTAACCACATGTATTCAAGCTCTATTGTGAGCAAAGAGCCAGAGAAGCTCTTATATGAAGCAGAGTGTGGCATCAAGATTGGCAGAAGGCTGATTAACCACCTGCAAGTGTAGATGGCACAACCTTGCTTGCTGACCACGTGGAGGACCTGAAGCACTGGCTGATGAAGATAAAGGATCGTGGCCTTCAGGGTGGAGTACAACTCAAGGTAAAGAGGACCAAATGCTCGCAACTGGACTAACAGGAAACGTCAAGATAGATGAAGAGAAGATGGAAGTTATCAAGTTGGATCCACAGTCAATGCTCATGGAAGCAGCTGTCAAAAGATCAAGAGAAATGTGCAACTGTGCTGGACACAATGGATGGATGGATGGATGGATTGTGAGAAGCATTGTCAAAGCCCCCAATAAAGTGATTAAAAAAAAAAGATCAAGGGACATATTGCATTAGGTAAATGCTGTGCAAGACCTCTTTAAAAGGATATTATTATTTTAATTTTTTTAAATTTAATTTTATTGGGGACTCTTATCACAATCCATACATATATCCATTTTGTCAAACACATCTGTAGATATGTTGTCATCATGTTTTTCAAAACATTTTCTTTCTACTTGAGCCCCTGGCATCAGCTCCTCATTTTTGCCCCACCCTCCTCCACCCTCCCTCCCCCATGTCCCCTTGATAATTTATAAATTAGTCTTTTTTTTTCATGTCTTACACCGACTGCTGTCTCATTTCCTCCACTTTTCTTCTGTCCATCCTCCTGGGATGGGGGCCAAACATCGATCGTTGTGATAGGTTCCCCTTCCTCTCCCCAACTCCACCATGCTTACCCTCCTAGTATCGCTGCTCCCCTTATTGGTCCTGAGCGGTTTATCTGTTCTGGATTCCCTGTGTTGTGAGCTCTTATCTGTACCAGTGTACATGTTCGGGTCTAGCCAGATTTGTAAGATAGGATTGGGGTCATGTTAGTGTGTGTGTGTGTGGGCTGGGGGGGGCGGGGAACTTGAGGAAGGTTAAGGACATTATTTTGAGGATGAAAGTGTGCCTGACCTGCCATGGTACTTTCATTTGCCTCATATGCTTGCGAAAGTTGGACATTGAA